TTCTATTTGTTTTGTATGAACAATGCTTAGAAGGATGTCATTTTAATATCCGTGAATGTGGAAATGAGAGGAAGGAAACATACGCAGCCAATACAACGACAATTTGGAAAATATGAAAGCCTTTGAAATGAATTTGAAAAGAGTCTTATGACTCTTGAACGATTGCAATGCCAGAATATGGCTGTAACTCTAATTTCGTTTGCATTTCATGGATGGATTTTCGCTTGAGCGGAAAATTTTTCAAAACATCCATAAAATATTACTTGGAAGTGGTTGCTTTGTAAGACCTAACTGATGTGTTCCATTTTCCCGAAATTTCAGAAATAGATGAAGCAGATAACGACGTTTAAATGATGATGTTGACGATGTTCAATGTATATCAGAGTTTAAAGAGAGGGACGTTATTCGCGGTACTGGGTTTTTCTGTGTTTTTAACTGCACTAAACTGAAGGTGAAGCAAAGGAAATGCTTAAGTTAAGCTTGAATAAAAATGAAATAACTTACGAGACCGTTAGAAAATGGTTCGCGAGATTTCGTGTAAAAAATTCTTATGCTGCTACCCGTCTTCTGCGAAAGCGATCCAGGAAAAGACTTTCAACTTGGGCTGTGAAGTTTTACGCACCTCAAGGCATTTTTCAAACCTGGGCCCTTCCAATTAGCACCTATTCAGATCGAGACAGTCATATTTATCAGGTCAGGTGCTAACAAAAGTTGAAGATATGCGAAATGGGTCGATTTTGCTTCCAAACTCGTAAGTTTCTCCTGCGGGAGCATGCATAAGGTGGCCAAAAAAATGGCGAGAGCTCGTAGATAGTCGCGGTGCGTATTTCAATTATTAAGCTGCGTAACAAATGCATTTTAAATAAAGTTAGACCTATTTACGCAGCCACTATAAAAATTTTGAATTTGCTTATAAACCTGACCGTTTGTCAGAGACATGCAGTTGTCCGTTCGCAAGTCATAAGAAAGCGACAACTTAAATTTTGTACATAGCGCTTCATCTCATGTTTCAGAAACAAGAATGAAAAGAGGAGCAGAAGCTCCATTTGGGTATTGAGTTGGAGTGAGAAAGCCAACTTAAATAATGAACAATTTACAAATGATAGCAGATATCCTAACTTAAGTGTCGAATTAAGTTGTGTTCGCTGATATCATCTAAGAAAAGCAAAAACCCGCTATTATCCTGTAAACATAGACGGCGGTAATCGTTGCACAATTCAATGTCTGACAAATTGTGACAAAAAGCATTTATCTTGCGCGATTTTTATCAGCTTCCTTTGAAGGCGTTGGACAAAGCAATTTTCTTCTTTTTTTTTTGCTTGTGATAGGTTGGTGTGTGTAGATAAATTCGGTCCTTTGTTTCACTTGTACTCATACTTGTTGTCACGGTTTTGATTACCAGCTTACTGAGATTTCCTTTGCCTTTTTGCTCGGTTGCATTTGCGGTTGTCGTATGCAAACATATACGAGATGGCAATCTATTCTGCAGCATTTTTTCTTTTTTCCCTTCTTTTTTTCTTTTTGTTTTTCTGTATCAATCGATTGATAGCAAAAGGCAGAGAATGTGTCGCTATGAGTGGTGGTTGCAACAAGAGAACATCGTGAATATGCAATAAATTATCCGTGTACGGATAACTAAGTAGTAATGGAAGGATTATGTTCCCATGGACTCACACAACTAATGAATGTTTCATTAAAAGAAAAGCGTTAATTAATTAATTTATAAAATTAAGATTACGAAGGAATTAACTTATATCTAATCATCTCTTCCTTTGTGTCAGTTGTGTGAGTTGAATTTTAAAAATGTTTTTTTGAGAAAAACTTAACTTAATTAATTACAACATTGCTGTGTATGCATACGTATGCATTATGTATTCTAATAAATTGCATGCAATGCATATAAGTTTGATAACAAGATGCAGAAGCAATAATATGGCTTGCAACAAAAGTGAACTAATGACTTTGATATTGTGATAGCAATTGCTAAGCTATTGTTTACTAAAGGACACTCTGAATCTTGGTATTATTGTACGCTTACTTTTCTCCATGCATGCTCTAGTACCTATGCTCACATAAATTTAAATACACCTACTGTATGCATTTTTTATTTTCAAACAATCAACCAGCAACCGAACCAACAAGTTGTACAGTTCTTGTACGCTCTTCTTGCATGCCATGCTTACAATTCATTCATCCATTCACGAGAATACACTTGACATGGAAGAATACTTTTCCTTCTCTTTTTCCTTCTTTTTTCGCTTTTATTATTATTGTAATTTCTGTTAGCGGCGTTGTTATTGTATGCTTTAATAATAAAATATGCATATATAGATATAGTTGTTCTGTACATACGGAAGAGAAAGGTTATCCATAAAGCACACACACTCATATATATATATATATATATATGTATATATATGTATATATATTTATGTATGTACAATTACATCGAATAGCTTCGATGCGGAAACAAGCATAAGATTTTATCAGTACTTTTACGATTATATATATTATTTTTGCATTACTTAACAGAATCACACTCAGCTCAGGAAATACCAAAGAATTACAATAATAAATAACGAAAAGTGATATAATGAAATGTTGCATAGTCGGAAAAGTCAGAACAACGTTTTTTTTTTTTTTTTACAAAATTTGAACATTGTTCATATTAGAAGTACAAATTAGTTCGGTTCGGTTCGGTAATTGCTACTGAAAGGTCGAGAGTAAAGCTTTGATTCCTTGCGCGGATATGATGGATATGATCTTGCATTTCGAACTTAACATATTCTATCCGCCTCGCTGTTATCAGCAGATATTATTTCTTCCGATTGACACCGATTTCAACAGTTACTTATTGCTCGAACGGTGTTTTGATTCTTATGAAGATGCCCAAGCATGAATTCTTTTAGGGATATCTTTAAAAGTCTAGATTTTTCGAAGCGAAATTTGAAAATTGCTTGAAAGAGGCGGAATATTCGTAGCTAGCGACGGTCAGTAATCTAAATAAAACACATTGGAGCAATTTCCCTGAAGAAGGCGCTAAAGTTATAAAAAAAGAACCCTCAAAACTTATTGGTACATACAATATTTTATTTAGCCCATTGGCTTATTATTATTGTGAAGCAGTTTGGAAGTAAATCCAATGTGGTCCAATAAAGTCTGCGTACGGTACCAAAAATTGAGGTTTCTCTTATTAAAAACTTCATCTATGGGCTAAGGGTCAAAAAACATATTTCTTAAGAAACGAGATTTGTTTTGACTCACGATTTATTCCAGTTGTTTTTGCTATTTCTCTGTTTGCTATTTTGAGAGATTGTCCCATTTTTTTGCATATTCCGTGACTTCTTAAGGAAAAGAAAGATTAAAGGACATTTTCTGCTTATAACTTTATCTAAAGTCAAAAAGATATCTTGATGTGTTATTTAATATAAGTTTTTGCTTTTTGAGAAATGTATATGTGTATCCTCAACCCATAAATGCGATTTTCAATAAGAGAAACCTCCTTTTTCACTACTGCATGTAGACTTTATTGGGCTACTGTATATATGAAAAAAAGCAAAATATATATTATTGTCGAGTAAAATTTCAGCGATTTCGTAAACATGGGAGTTGGCAAAAAAAAAAGAAGATATTCGTCAGCCAAGTTCATTTTGAACCAAACCTCCGCAGAGTATTCAGTTTTATGAAAATATATTGAAAATTGCCGCCTCACCTAATGACGAAGCAGTCAAGAAGACAACAGAATGAACAGACTTAAGTTATTTCAAAAATTAATTTAGTAAAGAATATAACAAAATTAGCTAGAAATTGTACATAGTGAGCACACAAATTACTTATACGGGTATTTCAATTTTCTTCTAATTCGCTAATAGTCGGAAGGTAAACAAGCAACAAAATTTTATTCGTTCGGGACCAAATCTTTTATACCCATTACCGTTTACTTCAAGAAAAGGTAAAAGAATATATGGAGTGAGCGCTGCTGATTTCTTCTATTTGCAAAATAAAAGTTTTTGTCGGAGCGGCATGTAACGTAGTAGGCGTGTGCTTTGAAAAATTTAGATCAATTTAAAATTCTCTATAACTAGCCAGAAGCTGAGAATCGCGTCGGAACATGCTTCTTTTTTTTCTTATCGTTAACGAATTTGAAATACGGAACATGTATATATGTGCATATGTTTTTTTTTGGTTTTTACTTACTGCTGCTGATATTATCTTATGTTATTATAATAAATAAATTTCTTAAAATTAGCTAAACTTTTTGATTTTAATCCTTAAGGACATCTCCATACGCTTCCTTTCAGCTGTTAACGCCTGAAGTGAAAATGATTTCTATGTTGCGAGTTTGCATTGGTTTCGCTGAGAACATTTTAGTAAGATTGAGGATCGATTGTTATGACTGCATAGTGATCGTTAAATATACTGTGCACAACTAGTGTTAGTTTTCGCTGATTGTAAGTTACGAAGGAATTCGACAAAATACATCGTCATTTAGAACTTTACAAAACAGGATAAGAACATAAGACAGAAGCCACTAAATAATCCGTCACTTTTTAGAACGAAATTGAAAGGCGATTACAGTTATAACTGGTGTAGACCGACTTTTGTTGGCCTGTTTTTTTGTTATTTGCTACGAACTCTTTCTCTTATTTGATGCGCTTTTATCTTAGAAGAAAAACTTGGTGGAAACAGTTAGAATGATTACAGAGGATAGAGTAAGCAATGCATTGTGAAAGTACATGGCCGTTGATACAATGAAGCTTTGCTTTCTTTTTCGGCCATGGAATAAATGCTGAGCTCTATGCTTGAAACAAAGTCGTATGACTTTATATGTATTCTTATAAAGAAAGCAAAAGGGAATGGTAGAAGAAATAAAAATAATTTTTTTTTTTACTTGAAAGCTATTTATCTAATTTAATATTGCATTATTTTACTTTCTCTTTATGTTACATTATGTTTACTCGTCTTCACACTAACATATATACCAAAAAAGAATGTCTTTGGCTTTATTAATTGTATTTTGTTTCAAAGAAACTTTTCGCTTTATTAAAACTATGCTAACAAGGAACACAGAGTTGCTGCACTCGACAAGTCCCTTCTGAGATATTATTATTATTTATTTAGCTAGAGATATAAATTGTTAGACTAAAACCTTAAATCAGTAGCATCTAAGGCCGACGGTATTATTGAAAACTCTGCCGCACTTGACATTTGAACCCACGACCATTGAGTTGTTAGTCGAGACTCTGCCTACTCGGCCATTCAGGCGGATCATCTGATGTAGTCTAGTAAATTTAGCTTAGATGTGAGGGAAACTTCACCTGATAGCAATATTTCATTTGATGTATGCTGATGTGTCGGTAGCCTTTTGATTTTTGTTCGCTATTTTTGATCCGAACTGGATTGCTCTCTTTCGTAAAAATGTTGAAAATGTTAAACCCAGATGTTGGGCATAAAGTCTTAGAAATAGTTTGCTTCCATTATCCCCAGAAACGAGAAAGCAACATCGCTGACTTGACTTAAGCGACCTTACAAATTGCACTACGTGTTCTTCGATAAAAGGGGATCTGGGTGTTTTCCCCGTGTCACTTATAACGCGATCATCGCGAGCCAAATTGCGAGAAAATATTCTCTTCCAGTCTCTCTCCATTTCCTTGTGCACATTCAGTTGTTTGGCCGTATCATCACCCTGGCATTGAGTATATGCCTTTCTATGTCGCATATATCCTCCAAACAATTCATCAGCTCCACTTCCGAGAATAACTACCCTGGCTGTTGACGTCCATTCTCTTTGATCTACGTATCCCTTGCCTTGTGCTGCAAACCAAAACGCCGAACCGATAGATTCATCAAGAATAGTGTTAAGTGGGTAAATCAGGTGCTTCAGATGCGTACTCAACTTGTCTAAAAGTTCTTTTCTGGTAACATTAACTTCTATGAAATTCCATTTTCTTCGTGGGCAGAGCAATTTTAGCTCTTCATACGATGATCGAGCCGATAATCTATCTGGAACATCCCAAGTTTGCTCGCTAGAGTTAATCGCCTCAAAAGCGACGTTAATTAAATCAATGGAATCCGATTTATCAATGTATTTATCAGTTAGTACTGCCAATACTGAGCAATCAATTCCTCCAGAATAAAGGATTGCAACCTTTGAATGATTGCAGAATTCTCGATTGCTTATGCAATTACGGCAATATCCCGTTGTAGTTTGAACTCTGCTTTTAACCGATTCGTTCAGAAGCGCAGAAAACATATCTAAAGCTCCTACTATTTCATCATTTTTCAAAAGAGCACTGAAGAGCTCCTGAACAGGGACGTCTAGATTTTTAACCATGTCATAGAAATTGAAAGAGAACTCTTTTGCAAATGCCGGACTGTGAAGCCAAGGCGATTCGATAATATATTGGCATTTTATATTTATGTTGAATGTTCCTTCCATCACGCGTATGTAATCATTCTGATCTCTGTCAAGACTTACCCATGGAAACAACGTCCAATTATCAGAATCTTCGATGTTTAATTTGAAAATACCCAATGGCGGCAGTTCAATAGCATTTTTGTTAGACAGGCTTGCTACACTCAGAATGCAGAGATGCTCTTTATTCTTCTCTACAATTAGGGAATTCCGACCCATTGAATCGCGAGCAAAGTACAAGTCTTTTGAATACTTGTTGTACATAATTATACTGAAGGGACCTTCAAGTTCCTTGAAGAAATTTATCAGAAGTTTATCACTTTGGCAATTTTCCAATTGAGTTGAAAGCCAATCAGAATCAGATTCATTCTTCAACTCCTTTGAATTGGTTTTAAAAATGTCGCCATTAAACAGTAATATGATATTGTCCGGTACAATCGGTTGAAAACATATTTCCGTTCCTTGATGCCAGAGCACGAACCCTGCAAATGTTCCGTCGGAGATATTTAAAATTTTTTCAGCATCCGGACCTCTGTTTCGCAAAACAGTGTATAACACTTCATTTTCTAAACAATAATGATTACTTTCTTTCCACGCCGGTATACAACAAAATATTCCACACATTTCAGTTTAAGATGAAAAATTCATTTTATTTATTGCAAGCATTAGACCAGGGTTAACTAATTACTAAATAATACATTTCGTTGACGAAAACCTACATACCATAGGGCTTATGAGAGCACTGTATAAGCGCATGTCCAGTAGAGACAACCAAATAATAAGATGTTCTAATATTTTATTCAAAATTAGAGGTAGGAAAATCTCAAGGACTTTGGTTGTTTCAATTACTAATAAAAGCAGTGGCGCTATCAATTAACAAGCCGTTTGACTGCTTATATAAATAAGTGTATACATAGTTGTTAGGGCAAGTAATTGATGACAGTCTTGCTATTGAAGCACTTAAAGTTCCTCAGACATCACTAGTTTGTATATTGCTTAAATATTGGGACATCTTGTTATTTAGTTGTCTCTGATGAAGTTTTGAGCAAATGTTTATGCCGCTCACTCTCATAAAGCGAGAGACAAGAGTTCGTACACACGCAGGCAAAGACGAATGGTTCAGCTGTCGGCTTACTGCTTTCGAAAGGTGAAGTCGATCGTAATATGAATGCTGGATTGAGGTCTGCCGACGTCAAACAATATATAGTGAATGGAGGGTTGTTGATATTTGCTTCGTTATTACAAATCTCATTTTTACTCTCTAAAGCTAAATTGCTATTAAGCGTACCTAATAAAGTATAATTAAGAAGAGAACATATTTGACAGAATTGATGGTCAATTTTCTAATAAATCAAACGCTTTCTTTCGAATTTATAATTATATTTTTAAAACAACATTCTACAGGGAATAGACAGGGAGGAATATATATAGGGAATTTCTAGTTTATTGTTTTAAACGTTATTCAATAAGAAAAGATTGCTATGTCTTCAGCTGAAGAGGTCGCAAAGAAAACAAAACGAGTATCAACTTTCGTCTTCGTTCAGGAAGAGAGTTTCTTAGCTTTCCTAAAATTGAAATTAACAAAAAACTAGTAAGAAAATCATGTTTGGGCGCAGTAGGGAGCATCAGAGACCTCCCCAAATTTATGTGGTCCTAATCAGCATCGAATTCTAAATCGATTTATCCGTCTGTGTTGTGAACATTCTCCTGGCCACAAAATTGAAGCTATCGCCTTCAAATTTGGCAAAAACATTGCAAGTTCTTGCATGCAGGTTGGTACTGAAAATGGGTTACATCGGTCCAAGGACACTCTCACAGCACTGAGCGTAGACTGAGAACATCTCTGTTTCTCAACAGGAATGAAAAATTTGGTTTTTTGCTCATTTATCGTGAACTATATAAAAATTTGAACGCATGGGACAAATTGACCACGTCCACCCAATATCACTGTGTCGAAATTTAATTACCTTTATAACGTGGAAAATTTGCATATTATAGAAGTCAGAGAGTGCCGTACATATAATTTATTAATAATTAATTATTACTGATTTATAATTAAGATATTGGACTGACTTTGCTATAGTAAAGCCGGCCCATACACCGTTCATTGTAGGGCTTTTCAATGCGAAGAAATCGCGCAAACATGTCGAGAATAGTCATGTAATTCTCTCTTAATTACCGCAGATTAAAGTGGGCAGCGGCAGCAAGTATTTTCAGAGAAGCCACTATCATTAATTTAAAAGCCTTGCCGCGCTAATACGAATTCTAAACTGGAGACGATTTGAGTGATTTCGTTTTCGATTTTGTTTAATATCACTGGTGTTTGTATTGTCTTAAGTGATTAACGTCGACTTATAAACAAATGGTTTGTGTCTACATATGAGATATATGTTGAACAGAAGCAAGCAACTTATGTTGTTGGGTAGCTCTTTAATTTCGCCGATATGGTAGGGCAAGTGCTTGACTTTTAAGACATTCTCAGCATAAATGCTTAAGAAAAATGTTTAAGAGCGTCGTTGCGAGCGAAAACTGCAACGACTTAATTGGCGCGTCTAGAAATACTCAGAAAAGGAGTCTTTGCAGTCGTTAAGGTGAAGTCGGGTGAACCGACCGAATATAATTTTCTTGCATATTTATTATTTGAGGCACTACATGTGTGTACGTTTTACTAGTAAGCACACATATGTGTGCTTGAAATTTCTCCCTTTGTTGTTAAAAACTGCATTTATTTAGTGCTTAATTGCAAGGAAACATAATTCATTACCTTGAATGAATGCGGCTTTCACGTTGTCATTAAGCAATTGAAGTCGTCTCTCAGTCTATTCGATATGGTTTTATGTATGTCTTTGCTATTTAAAACAAATTTATCCGATGGATGCTTCAGCTTTTATGCATAATAAACATTTATGTTTGTAACTATTACGATAAATAATTAAAGGCACTGAAGAGATACGGTATTAAATGCCTTTCTTCGTTATGCACCTTAGGTACATGCATGCATTATATGCGCTTGTGTTACATTATAAGTGCATTTACACCACAGCAGACCTGCTTAATATGCTTTAGCGTAATTTTGTTTTTAAAGGCTTCTATGCATATGTGCCATAAAAGATTACTTAATGATGATATTGTATAACCTTTAATGTAAAGTTTATTAAAGTTGTTTTACTGCTATTTATAGCAAGAATTGAATTACATTACAGGACAATGCAAAGGGGTTTCTTCTTTTTAGGAACTCAAAAGTTTCTCCTTTGCTATTTCGTATACGCTTTCGTGCGAAAGCAAAATATACGTAAATTAACTTTTCTCAAGTTTCGTATTTCATTAAAATCTTATTGAGACAGCTCTTTGAAAATTCAATAGAAATTTTTGCATAAAGTGCTTTATAAAAGGATCACCATTTCTGTGACCTCAATTTGCTTCAAAATTTAATATTTTGTATAGCTTATATAAGACTTATTAATTTCATCCTTAAAATCTAAGAAAAGATAACTTCAAACACAAAACTTTTCCTCAAATTATATGTATGTACAGGCAAGCGTATAATGTAAACGTAATGTTAAAAGCCACAAATTTAGATAGAAGTCCCTGAGGAGAAAACTTTTACTTTTTTCTTGCAGAGATAATGAAATTCGGTAATTACTGCTTTATATTTAAATAAGTGTCAAATGTTAAAGGCAAAGAAATTAAAAATATTACACTTAAAACTTTTATCAAATGATAGAACTTTGAGTTCAATCAAAATGGAAAAGTTGCTCGATAATATTCCCTTTTTATACCTTACACCTACACTTGTGGTATAGGGATATATGAAATTTATGCGGATGTATCCAAGAGGCAGAAGACCTATCTTTTATTATACCAAGTGACTCAGAATCACTTTCTAAATCGATTTAAGCTTGTCTGTCCGTCTGTCTCCGTGTCTTGTGCTCAGCCTAAAAGCTGCAATTTTAGCTACATTAGGTATACCGTTTGTTGTTTTGGCCTATGACCGAACGCTTTTGAAAATGGATCGGATCGGACCATACTATCGCTCACTTCTCATGTAACGGCTTATTTTCATGTCATATGGACAACTATAGAACGGTCTAGTATATCTACAGAGTTTTTACTTGTTTTATTACCCCTTAAAGTAAAGAAATTGTGTTTCAAAGGAATGTAAAGGACGTTTAAGACGCTGTAGTTAGATGCTTAGTCAATGTTTTCCTCATTTTTTACTCACTAATATAGAATCGATGTTTACTTAAAATCCGTCATATTCGATATGTCAGGAGTTGAAATAAATTCTTACCTGGTCCTCTAAAAGAAGACTTTACTCAATCTGTTATCTGTTTCATTTTATTGCAATGTTGCTAAGCTTCAAGGCCACGCGTAGAAACAAATTTAAGAGAAACCATTAGTGATTGGATTTCTTATTCAATTGAGAAGACAAATTAGCAGATAATTATTATGGTTTGTTAACGTTGGATGCTCTTCAAATGTTAAAATATTAGTTTGGGGAAAAAGAAATCCATTATTTTTATATGAACTTCAGGACTTTATTTAACATGCTTCGGATTGTCCGATTTGGGTCAAATATGCACCGTTTTGTTGTATGATTTGTTGCCATTTTAAAGGTAACTTCAAAATGCCTCTCTCATAGAAGTCCTGGTCTCTATTTGCAAAAAACTCTAGTAGTCGATTTTCACAATCCTCCCTAGATTCCAATTTTTTATCATTAAAGAAATTTTGCAATGCAAGAAAAAGATGATAATCGCTTGGTGCCAAGTCCGGACTGTATTGCGGATACATTAAAACTTCCCAACCAAGCTCCCGAAGTTTCTGGCGAGTTTGATCGATACTTTACGAGAAATCTATCAGTGCAGCCATCTACCGAAAAAATAATGGATTTCTTTTTCCCCAAACTAATATGTCTTCGATTTTTAATCACTGAGCTGAAAGTAAACGAAAAAAAAATCCACCATCCCATGGAAACCAATAAGGTTTTTTCGCGATATCTGCTGGGTCGTCGTTCTTTCTTTCAATAAATTTGATCTATTCAATTCCTGGTGTATCGTGCAAAGAAATTCAAGCAAACGATCTTTATATAAAAAATATTTGCATAAAGTAGCAGCAGCTCAGTACTTTCTTCCCTTCCAGCGTTGCAAATTGATCAAGGAAAATATAGGAGACTTTGGACAACTTCTAATGCAATTTAGCCTTTTAGGCTTTCGGACGGGAAGGGTCCTATTCACCTTTTATCGTTTAACAGCAGACATGACAAGGAGGGAATAACATTCACACTGTTAGAAATAAATTTGAAATCAAATGAAACGTCTTAATTGCTTTTAGGAGACGTAATGAAAAAATATATACATTTTTTCATTAAATATTTTTAATAGTTGAGCTAAAATTGAATTTTCATGAATATGCTTAGGAGAATTGAAGTAAAAGCGTGTTTGTGTGCTTGTACGAAAATATTTTATTCAATTTTTATATCTTAGTTTGCTGGCATAAAATTTGCAATTTAAAATTCTTCCTCATCGGCACAAAGCAGCAAATGAAATTTTCTTCTTCTTTCTGTAAGGAAAAGAGGCCGTAAGAAAAGTAGATGCAAACCTGACCGTCGGAAAGAGGGAGAGAGATAATCAAGCAAAATAGAAACATAATATAATTTTATTTAA